AAAAAAAAAAAAACAAAAAAAAAAAAACTTGGTACCTTTTATTTGGTACACACCTAAACTATTGGTAGTCCTAGTTACTCTTGGAACTTGGCTATTTGATTGCCTTTACTCCCCGGATGATCTCATCCTAAGGAAGTGACATAAAAGCACTGCCACCTGGATTGTTTCTCCATGTGTTTTTAGAATAAAATATTTTTTTTACCTTTTTAAATTCATCAATTTAGAAAAAATTTCCCGGTCAAATTTGTAAAAGACTTGGTTAGAACTCCATTATTTAGGTTAAATGTTTTTATTTGGCTAAAAATAATGGAGTTTCAACAAACTTTTTTTATAGATTTGGCTAAAAAAAAAAGAAATACACAGTTTAAACAAAATTGTCACTGCATTCAAAGAAGAAATAAAAAGAAATACGCAGGTGGAACTCCATTGTTCTTGCTAAAACCTTTTATTTGGCTAAAACAAATGGAGCTCTAGCCAATTTTTTTAACAGATTTGGCCCGAATAAGAAAATATACGCAATTGGAATAAATAGTCATTGCATCTGAAAAAGAAATAAATAGAAAATACAACTATTTTATTTGGCTAAAGATAATGGAGCTCTAGTCAACCTTTTTTATTGATTTGGCTCGAAAAGAAAAAAAATACATAGTTGAAATAAATAGCCATTGCATCTAAAGAAGAAATACACAGTCCATTATATGGGCGTAAATATTTTTTATTTGGCTAAAAATGATTGACTTCCAGCTAAATATTTAAAAATCTGGCTCGAAAAAGAGAGAAATAAACAGTTGGGGAAAATAGTTATTGCATCTAAAGCAAAAAAATGCAAATCTGGGGTAGAATATGCATTGTATATTAAGAAGAAACAGGAAGAAATACAATTGGAACAAGTAAATAATTGTATATGATTATGTGGCAGTTAATAGTTGGAAAATATCTTAGCTGGAAGTTGATTTTTTGATTGTTCTTCACTCCTACGCACCTGAGAGAGTGTCTCCACACTCTTTGCCACGTCAGCGTCAGTGGATTAAAGGTTATCAAATATCCAAATCCAGGGGGTAATAAAGAGTATGAATAGTTCAAGTGTGCACCTAATAAACTGTGTCAAGTTTAGGAGGGTAATTAGGTATTCAGCCTAGAAACTAGTAGCTGTCGTTCATAGTACTTGCCCTGTTTAATGTGAAACAAGAAACCTCACAAATTATTATAGCACTGCCTTGACCTGTTAACCTGAAATAAGCAGCAAATTATCCATAACTTTGGCACCTATTTAAGGCCCTAAGGTCATCCCTTCTACAAAGCAAATGTGTTAAAATAGATAATGTTCTATGGCCCAACTCATCATCCCTGTCATTCTTATAAAAACAAACATTGAAGTGGAAAATGCTCAATAGAAGAAAAAGGTGTAGGACCTATGTTGATACGAGTACAGATTCTTTTTGATGGGTTTGATATCAAACTTTTTTGTTATAAAGTAATAAATTTTATTAATATTTGGGTGAAAAGCGTCTGCATAAAAAAAGTATACCAAAAAGTAGAAAATCTACAAAACGATATGGTTTTCTACGAACTACACCCAATCTTCTATACAGGAACTTCATGTTCATGGGTGCACCAAAAAGAAATGAGGGATAAGAGGATACTCCTCTAATGTACAAAATTCAACTCTACACCTTTAAAAGCTCTCATATTTCTTTCTCTCCAAAAGACCTACATAAGTGCTAGTGGCATGGCATTCCACGTCTTGTCTCTTCTCCCTTCTCTACAATATTTCCAACTAAACATTGCCTTTTTTATAGTACCTGGCATCATCCAAAGTATCCCAAACCATATAAGAATTTCCCACCATAACCTCAAAGCTATCGGACAATGTAAGAGGATAGGGTCGACATCTTCACTCGAGCTGCTACA